AAAACCAATGGTTTTTCAACAAAAAATTGTCAAAATCTCATCCCGCGCGATCTTGCGGATTCGTAGGAAACCCAACACTTTTTAAACATTTCTGTCAAACGGGCTTTTGCGAGCAACTTTTTCGAACTTCTGCGACAACGGTTGCGCACCTGCCAGGGCCATCATCCCTGTCAAATAATACATGCGGGACACATTCGTTTTTTCTTCGCGCGCGCACGCCGAAATCTCCAAAAACCATTGGGCTTCTTAAGAATTTTAGCACCGCGCATCATAAAATCACACGAATCGCACCGTAGGTCCTCGAAAAACACCTGCACGACTTTTCAAAAATTCTACCCGCGCGCGCTGTCCGAATCCTAAAAAAAACAATGGTTTTCCAAGGGTTGTAATGATGTACTTTCCACGCCAGTGTAGTAGCCACGGTCGTCCGCATGCCACGAAGTGAAGTGTCCGAACGTCACAGGGCGGGAAGCTGGGTGTGGGTGGTGGCGAAGAGTCGTTTGGAAATTTGATAGAGCTTGAACCGGCCCCCCCACAAAGTGGGGGTATTGCCCGCCTCCTATGAAAACCCTGGCACTGGTGAGAACGGAGTGTCCCCACGTGCTAGTAATTGTTGTTGTTGTTGAACATTATTACTTCTAAAGAATAATTATTGTTGGGACCCCTGGTACACGACCCCCCTCCAAAACCTAGGCCGCAGCTACATTTTCATTATTTTTTCGCGAAAGCTTCAGAAAAGTGGATTAGTACCGGATCCGGTTGTTTTGTTCCCCCCCGCTTTCCCTTGCAAAAAACACTATAAAATGAAATTTCTTGTTCAAATGTAATCCAATTTCAAGAATCCCTTGCAAAAAATAAGCTACAGTGGACATTCGCGCGTGCAAGACGAAATCCTTCCAAAACCTTAGGTTTCGGAACGATTTCAACATAAAAACATCAAAAACCCAATGGTTTTTTAAATAAAACATTGTCAAAATCTCATCCCGCGCGCTCTTGCGGATTCGTAGGAAAACCATCACTTTTTAAACAATTTTGTCAAACGGGCTTTTGCGAGCAACTTTTTCAAACTTCTGCGACAACGGTTGCGCACCTGCCAGGGCCATCATCCCTCTCAAATAATACCATGCGGGTTCGTGTTTTCTTCGCGCGCGCACGCCGAAATCTACAAAAACCATTGGGTTTTTAAGAATTTTACCACCGCGCATCATAAAATCACACGAATCGCACCGTAGGTCCTCGAAAAACAGCTGCACGACTTTTCAAAATTTCCACCCGCGCGCGCTGTCCGAATCTTCAAAAAACCAATGGTTTTCCAACATGTATGTGACATGAGCTCGCGCGAGCTACTTTCGCACGCTCTTGCAACGGGGTTCGCGCGCCTGCCAGGGGCCAGAATCCCTTGCGGTTGCGCCATAGGTTGCGCTCTCTATGTCATGCGCAACGAATGCACGATGCGGGGCACATGCGGGGCCCAAACAAGTGATCAACCTCTGCGGGTGTGTACTCCACGCCAGTGTAGTATCCACGATCGTCCTCGCGCCACGAAGTGAAGTGTCCTGACGTCATAGGGCGGGAAGCTGGGTGTGGGTGGTTCCCGAGAGTCGTGTGGATGTTTGGTAGAGCTTGCATTGCCCCCACGAAGTGGGGGTATTGGCTGGCGTCGCATGAAAACCCTGGCACTGGGGAGAACACTGAGCGTTCGGGTAAAATGATTGTTGTTGTTGTTGTTGTTGTGTGTACTCCACGCCAGTGTAGTATCCACGATCGTCCGCGCGCCACGAAGTGCAGTGTCCTGACGTCATAGGGCGGGAAGCTGGGTGTGGGTGGTTCCCTAGAGTCGTGTGGATGTTTGGTAGAGCTTGCATTGCCCCCCCACGAAGTGGGGGTATTGGCTGGCGTCGCATGAAAACCCTGGCACTGGGGAGAACACTGAGCTTTCGGGTAAAATGATTGTTGTTGTTGTTGTTGTTGTTGTTGTTGTTGTTGTTGTTGTTGTTGTTGTTGTTGTTGTTGTTGTTGTTGTTGTTGTTTGTTCCAAGATGCTTCCAATATTGCATCCGCAGCGCCCAAGAGGCCTCCAAGATAGCTTCAGGACTGCCCAATGGGTCCCAAGACGGCCCCCAGAGGGCACCAAGACGACCCAACAGGCCTCCAAGACGCCCAAGATGGCTTCTAAGACAGCCCTGGAACACCCCAAGAGGGCCCCAAGTCGGCTCAGAGAGGCCTTCCCAAACGGCTCCCGACGGCGTCCGACGGGCCAGGGGCCCACCAAGATGGCCGAAATTGGCTCGAAGCTGGCCCAAGATGGCATTTTTTTTTTTTTTTTTTTTTTTTTTTTTTTCCCCCCCCCCCCCCCCCCCCTCAGGGGACCTCCAGGAAGGGCAGAAAACAAAAAAAGGCAAACAAACATTGATCCTCCTTTGGTTTTTGAAGGAGTTTGACATGTGCGTCTGTTGGGCTCGGCCACTCGAAGGCTCAGTACGGCCCAAGAGCCCCAAAGATCGGCCAAAGATCGCCCCAGAGGCGTCCAAGAGGGCCTCCGGAGAAGAGGCCCCCAAGACGGCCCAGGAGGCTTTAAAGACGCCCAAGATGGCCTCCAAGACGGCCCTGGCGTATTCCAAGAGGGCTCCAAGTCAGCCCAGGGGGGACTGCCAAATGGCCCCCGGCGGCGTCGGACGGGCCAGGGGCCCACCAAAACGACCAAAGAAAGATGGCCCACGACGGACCAAGAGGCCCGCAAGACGACCTCCAGGAAGGGCCGGAAAGGTCAAAATCGTTTCTACCCCAAAAGGTCTGGAAGGATTGTGGCAGGGCCCGAGACAGCCAAAGTGCATCCAAAGATCGTCCAGGAGGCCCACGATGGCCCCCAGGTCCTCCAAGACGCTCAAGATAGCCTCCAAGACGGCCCCAGGGCTCTCCAAGACGTCCTCCAAGAAGGCCCGGAAGTGTCAAAATGGTCTTCAGGCGGCCAAGATGACTGTCAAGATGCCCGCGTGTTCCCCGAAGGCTTCCCAAACCGATTCGGCGAACACATGGTCCGATAGCTTGGCAGGTCTGGCCTCAACGATCGGCCACTTAGGCGCTTCCAGAAAGGCAGGGGGCGGCAGTGATTCGCCGTAGGCGTCGTAGATTAAGAATGGGCGGTGATTATGACACCCTAGATCGCAAGCCGTCGAACTCACTCCCACCCGTCGGCCCCCCGTACAACACTTACACCCGAGTCTCAGCCTGTCTGGCGGTTGTGTTGTTGGTGCCAACCACACTTGGGGACCCAAGCCGACCACATATGGCGACTCTGGGGCGAGAGGCGCCCCACGCCAGCGCGCCACTCACGCCATGCATCCCTCGGGCCCGAGCGTGCCGAACACGCCTGGAGCGCCAGAGGCGCCACGTGCTTCGCGTGCGTCAGGGGTGCTGCGTGAGCCATCCGCGCCAGGTGTGCCGCGATTGGGGCGCGCGCAGAGTGTGTCTGGTGCGCCTGCGCACCTGGCCGCACACATCGGGGAACATGTCTGCCTCCACTTTCCTTGTCGACAGCCACTGCATCTCATTGTGTCTTGGTTGGCCTGCGCGCAGCAGGCCGCGCGCCACCACTCCAGCCACCCCTGTCAAAATCCATGAGACTGATCGCGGGGTGGCCGCGCAGGATGCAGTTTTAGCCGCGAGGTGTCTGTTGTAATTGGGCCCTCCTGGAGTCGGCCAGGTTCCTGGTTGGACGGCCGCCGGGTGGGGGAGGGGCACTAAGGAGAAGTGATCCAAACCCACCCCCGATCGCAAGCCGCTGAACTCACTCCAACGGGCCCCCATCCACCGAAGCGACACCTGATTTTCAGCATGTTCAGCGGTCGTGTTTGGATCGTCCGCGAGAGGGGGCGAAAACATTCTGTGCGCGACGCTGGGGCGAGGTGGGTCACGCAGGCCAGCCACCCACGCCAGGCACCCTTTGGGCCCGAGCGTGCCGGACACGCCTGGTGCGCCAGATGTGCCATGTGCTCTGCGTGCGTCCGGGGAGCCGTGTGCTCCCTCCGCGCCAGGTGTGCCGCGTTCGGGGCGCGCGCAGCGTGTGCCAGGTGCGCCTGCGCACGCGGCAGCACACATCGGGAAACATGCCGGCCCTCACCAGTCTTCTCGAACAGCAATGCCCATTGTTCTGTTTGGTAGGCCTGCGCGCAGCCAGCCCTGGGCCACAAGCATTGTGGTCCCCATTAGAAACCACTTGAACGTGATCGCGGGGATGCTGCGGCTGATCCAGTTTTGGCGTCGAGGTGCGATTCATATTTCGTAAAGGCGGTCGCCTGGAGCACAGCAAGTACAATGCTGACGCCTCCGCCGTCCCTGTCAGAACTCCTTGTAGGTGGGCGCCCGACTTAAGATTTGGCTCCTCAGTGTGCGTTCAAATTTTTTGGCAGGGGTGGTTGGGTGGGTGGGTGGGTGGGTGGTGCAGCGGTTTGGCCGCCGGTCGCCTGGGGGAGGGCGTGTACAGTAAGGGCGTCTTTTCGTCGAAACGATGACCCAACTTTACAAGACGGCATGAAACAACCGGACGATGGGCTCGACTTGTCGCCGCGCGCGTGGTGCGAGGCGGGGTCGGGGAACTGTGCGACTCGAGTAAGCCGGCCACGCTTGTTGAAGAGTTGCGTCCTGGATTCAGGCGGTCCAGCTTCTCGTGGGCGGGGTGCCGCCGAAGCTCGCGTCAGATTTCGGACTGGGTCTCGTAATTGCCCGGGCGGCCCCGCAAGGCCAACCCGAGTGCCCCGTACCCAAGTCGGACGTCTTCCCCGACAGGTGGGGAACATGAGGGGGTGCGGCAGACGCGCTGGGCGCGAAGACGGCGGGCGACGAGGGCGAGGGAGCGCGCGGGGGCGGGGGCGACCAGAGGTCCAGAGTCGGAGCGCTCTCTTTGTGCTGGGCGCCCGCGGGTGGCACCCCACTTGAGGCCCGAGTGTGCGCAGGCCCAGGCTCGCGCCCGTTTTCAGTTGTCCCCGCTATTTTTTCTGGACTCCGTCCTCGTCCGCGGCTCTGGGCTGCGCGGTGCCGTCGGCGCGGACTGGCGACACCAGGGTCGCGTCAATCGCCAGCTGCGCTCCTCCCCAGAGCGGCAGGCCGTTCGCGATGACCTCGATCTTGCGCTCGTCGCGGGGGTCGACGCCGTCCACGTTGAGGTCTCGCAGGAGCTGGTTCTCTGCGACTCGGCCCCCGGCCTCGCGGCAGATACGTGCAGCCGCTTTCTCCAATGGGGTGGATCTCTTCTTGAGCACCCCTGCCCTTGGGCACGCCGCTCTGTGGTCACCTCTGGCGTCCACTCTGCCTTTGCATCTGCAAGCGCTCGCTGCGAAGGGTAGATCAAATCGCAAGCGCCAGGACTCTGAAGTCTGCCGGCGGGATGTGGAAGTTCCCCGTCGTGGGCAGCGCGGTGAAGGCTCGTCCCGCGCACGGCCCGCTCTGTGACCGGAGGAGGGCGCGGTCCGGTGGCGTGGAGGCGTTGAGGAGCTGCTGTCGGGCTGTGTTCTCCAAGACTCTGGCGGCCCAGAACTGCTAGCCGTGCGCCCATTCGCCGTGCTCCCGTTCGTGCGTGGGCGGTGGCCGGGCGCCCTGCGCAAGGTCGTGCCAGTTGGGCGCGGCGAAGCCGTGTGCCGAGAGGTGCTCCTTTGCCCTGCTGGCTTGTTGTAAGCACCCGGGAGGGGCCGGCAGCGGGCCCTGGTCCAGCTTGCTCAGTGCTGCGCAGATCTGGTTTGTGAGCTTGGGGTCACCTGGCTATTCTGCGACGGTCCATATTTGGCATGATACGCGTGTTCCTCCGGCTGCCGAACCACATCGTGAACAGCCGTACCGTCCAGATCCCCCAAAGGAGGCTACAGCATAGAGCAAAGTCTTCGACCGGCCAGCCGGTCTGGCAGGAGATGTCCCGCGCAGGTTTGTACAGATGAATTTGTTTATCCTTGTCGAGTTCTTGTGAGGGTCTGTCGTAGAACAACAACCTTTGTGCAGCGCACCTAACCACCATCGGAGCGGTGCCGCGCCGGCGCGCAGCGCAGGACCCCGAGTGTGGTGTACGAGCACCAGACAAAACGAAACAAGAGGCCCCCAAACGGTCTCACAAGAGAGCCCTCGGTTTGCAGGATTTTGGCGGTCTCGCTTTTTTGGTTCTCGGACGCCTCCAGACGGTCAAGAGGCCCCCAGGCAATTTACCACCCGCCCCGGAAGCCAGCAAGAGGGCCCGAAGACAGCCGAAGAGCGCACCCAGACGGTTCAAGAGGAGCCCAAGATGGCCGAAGAGCGTGTCAAGACGGCCCCAAACGGGCCACAGAGGAGGAACACGAACTGAAAATCCGAGCTTCCCGCCCCCAGGGCCACCCAGGAGTCCCCAAGAGGCCCCCAAGAGGCCCCAGCTCCCACAACTGCACCCAAGAGGCTCCTAAACTGCCTCCAAGGGCCTCCCAAGAGGCCCCCTTCTGCGAGATCCGCGTGGACAGTCACTGGGCTTATGACGCACACCCCAAAAATAGTGGCAGGACTTGCTGTCGGCAGCTGGACTTCGTACTCGTCAGCCAAGCTTGTGGACGTTCCGTGGCCCCACGCATGCCCTTCCCTGCCGCGTCGCTTGTTTCGGTGCCTTGTGCAGGTGCCTGCCGCCTACGTCCGCATTGCCTGTACGTCTTGCCATCTCCTACGAGTCGGTACCGACGGCCCCACTTGCGCCGTTCGCGTACCCGTCGGCACCCTTCACACCGCGTGCGCGCGCTCAAAGGTGGGGTCCCACCCATTGGCAGGCGTCCCCGCGACCCCTGTGAGCACATCCTTCACACGTGTCGTGGCCCCGTGGAGAGTTGGTGCCGTTCGCATGTGCCCTCTCCGCTCATTTCGGCATACCGTTCGCACGTGTCGTGGCCCCACAGGGAGTTGCACCAGAGGCCCCCACGTTGCTTTTCGCACGTGTCCCAGCTATTTATTTCGGCGCGCACGCGGAACACCAAACGACGTGCAGGCGGGTCGCCCTGCGCGCCGGCACGCTGGTCCCAGGCAGGCTTTGCTGCCCAGCGGTGGGGGAGAGGACGGGGGGAGCAGGGAGACGAACGCGCAAGCAGCAGGCCAGGGCCGACAGGGCGGGCGGGCGGGCGGGCAGGCAAAGGGGGGGCCAGGCGGAGACAGCAGGCAGGGAGCAGGAGGAAAGGGAGAAAGGCAAGGAAGAGGAGGAGAGGGAAACTAGAAATTACCAGCCGCGACGAAGCTACGGACCAGACGGCAGCAACGGCGACCAGGCGGCGCAGCCATAGCGGTGGTGTTGGCAGTGGGCTTCTGGAGGGGGTCGTCGTTTGTGGTCGTCGGGAAGGGCAGTCGGGGTCGTCGGGGGGGCGGCGTGGAGTGGCCGACCGAGCACAGCACGCTGCGGCTTGGGGGGCAGACTTGGGTCGCGAGGGTGGGTGCCAGGCCTGGTTCGACGTTTTCTGATGAAGGTTCCAGGGCTATTGCGAGCCCCCCGTTCAGTTTTTGTGCATTGTCTGGGTTTGTTGGTAGTGTACACGCGTGTGCAATTGGTAGGGTTTTGCGCTCGCAGGGGGGGGAGGGGTGCTAGGGGAATGGAGGTAAGGCCCACAAACCTCCTATAAGTGAGCTATGTGGGAGGCGAAGGTGGAGCCGAGTGTCATCAGCTACAGCTCTGGGATTAGCGCATGCGCGAGAGGCGAGCAGTGGCAACGGGCTCTCTCACTGCCCAGCGAGATGTGGGAGGCAAAGGTGGAGCCAGATGCCATCAGCTACGGCTCCGGAATCAGCGCGTGCGCGAAAGACGAGCAGTGGCAGCGGGCTCTATTACTGCTCAGCGGGATGTGGGAAGCGAGATCGGGGCCGAATGTCAACAGCTACAGCTCTGGGATCAGCGCGTGCACGAAAGGCGAGCAGTGGCAGCGGGCTCTATCGCTGCTTTGCGAGATGTGGGAAGTGAGGTCGGAGCCAGATGCCGTCAGCGACAACTCTGGGATCAGCCCTGGGATCAGAGCGTGTACGAACGGCGAGCAGTGGCAGCAGGCTCTCCCACTAATAGCGCTGCTCGCCGAGACGGTGGACGCGAGGCTGGAGCCAGTCGCCATCGGCTACAACGCTTGGGTCAGCGCATGCGAGAAGAGGGGGCAGTTGCAACAGGCATTGGCGCTGTTCAGTTCGATGCGGGAGGCGAAGCAGGGGCCCGACGTCATTAGCTCCAATGCTGAGATCAGAGCCGACACGAAGGGCGAGCAGTGGCAGTGGGCTCTGGCGCCGCTCGGAGAGATGTGGGGTGCGAAGCTGGAGCCCGACGCAATCAGGTACAGCGCTGGTGTCAACGCACGTGGGAGCGGCGGGCTGCGGCAGCGGGCCCGGACGCGGCCCCGCGAGAGGCGGGAATCACAGTTGCAGCCCAACGTTATCAGCTTCAAGGCCAGTATCAATACGTGCGAGAGGAGGAGATTGTGGCAGCAGGCATTGGCGCTGCCCAACGAGATGTGGGATGCGCCCGACGTAATCAGCTACAGCGGAGGGCTCCTGGATGGCGCGACGAGCGATCAGGAGCAGCGGACACTGGCGCTGGTCAGCGAGATGCGGGAATCAAAGCTGCGGCCCAACGTGATCAGCTACAACGCCTGGATCAGCACATGTGAGAAGGGCGATCAGCGGCAACGGGCTCTGGCGCTGCTCAGCGCGATGTGGGATGCGACGCTGGTGCCAGACGTAGTCAGCTACAGCGCTGGGATCGGTGCGTGCCCGAAGGGCGCTCAGTGGCAGCGGGCTCTGCCGCTACTCAGCGACAGGGGGCCGAAGATAACCGCGCTAGGTGCCATCAGCTGCATGCAGTGCCGGACTCGGCGCCAGCGAGCAGGGCATGCTGTCGACGCGGGCTGAGGCGGTTTCCCGGGCGACCCGGGATCTGAAGCCAGAGCCGAGCGTCTTCATCAGCTACAGTGCCGAAGTCGGCGCGTGCGAAAACGGCGTGCTCTGGCCGCGGGCTCTGGCGGTCTCCCAGGCCCCTCGCGCTGGCGGCGGCGCGCCTTCGGCAGGCGCGGGCCCGCCACTGGGGCCTAGGCACCTGGCTGGCCAGCCCGCGGCGGACCGGAGGGGGGGGGGCGAGCAACGGCAGCAGGCTCCGCCGCCGCGGCCGGCGCCGGCGGGAGGCGGCTGCAGGCGCTGGCGGCCAAGCCCGGCGCGGCTGGCAAGAAGGCCTGGCCGCTGCGGGCCCGACGTCCCGCGGACGGCAGCCAGCGACGGCGGCGGCGGCGGCGGCGGCCGAAAACACGGCTCCTGCGGCGGCGGCCGCCCAGGCGGCAGGCGGCTGGCGGCGACGGGCCGGGCCCTGAGGGCGACGCGCCGCCGGGCGGCGGCGGGGCGGCCTGGGGGGAGGTTCGGGGTTCGCCTGGCTTCGGCCGAAACCCCCTACTCCCTGGGGGCGTGCCCCCGCCCCGCACTCACCGTGGGCGCGCGGGGGGGCGCTGGCACTTGCGCTGCTGCACTGAGAGGAGGGGATTAAACAAACCAAAAAAACATATTTTTTTTTCTTCTCGGGCATGTGCGAGTTCAATTCTACCAGCGTTTTTTTTGTTGTTTTGTTGCTTGGTCGGGGGGGTCAGAGTCGGCTGGCTTAGGCACGTGCCCGGAATTAGAATTCTTGTAAGTCTGGGCACCGGTGCAGCAGGACAAAGTTTTGAAGGTTTCACCGGCCGTGCGACCTCGGCAAGACCTTCGGCAGTGTTGGAACTCAAATATCCCCCCGGGGGCCCCATATCTCTCTCACAGGACAGCCCGTGAACGCACGACAGTGGCAAGTGCAATGAGCGTATATTCTGGCGTGTTTTGGTCAGAAATCCGTGCCAGCAAGCACCGTGGAGGCACCTGTGGATCGCTTTCGGAGAAACCTTGGATGAGCTTCCCAATCTCCTAATCCTCTGCTGCCTGCCCCGAGCAGGTGGGGCGCAATGACAGGGCCCCTCGACGGTCCCGGGCGCCCCCCTGGCGGGCCCACGACGGGCCCACGACGGGCCCAAACATTTTAAGGCGCTGCCTTTATGAAAACTCTCGGCGGCCCCAGACGGCTGCAGGACCAGCGCAAAGGAGCAGTCAGAAAAAAAACCATAGTGTCAGTCCAAACATCAGTTTAGTTTAATAGCGGCCTGCTGTTGCCGCCCCGAAAGGGGCGCAGTAGAGCCTTGGGGCGCCCCAGGGAAGCGCAATCATAATTCCCCGACGTTCCGACGAAAGCAGTGGCGTGTGACAGCCTTCGTCTTTCTTTTTGTCGTCTTCGTCCTCGTCCGCGTTCTCGTCCTCGTCCTCGTGCTCCTCCTCCTCCTCCTCTTCCTCCTCCTCCTCCTCCTCCTGCGAGCGACGAAGTCCGGTCTGTGCCAGCGCCAGCGCTTGCGCCTCTCTGTGCTCGTTGAGCTTCGCGGCGCTCCCGTAGTTGCCCTTCAGGTCAGCCCAGCAGCGCCGGCTCACCCGGCCAGTTCCGCGGCCAGGGCGGCCCGGGCGTGCGGCCGCGCCGCGTCCGAGCCGAGCGCCGTCCGGAGCTGGCGAGCCGTGGCCGCCTGCAGGGCGACCGCCAGCTCGGCGCCCCAGCGGCGGGCGAGGGCACTGGCCGCAGCCGCGGCCGCGGCAGCGTCGTCCCCGGCAAGCAGCTGCGCCTGGTCCCGCGCGAGGTGCTGCAGGTGCCGCAAGGTAGCGGGCCCATTGCGGCCGCCCGTCTCCAGAGCCAGCGGCACCATCCGCCAGGGCGCGCGCCCGGCGGGGCACCGCTGGCGTTTGTCCGCTTCGGCGTCGCGGCAGACTGCGCCGTCCCGCGCAGCAGCGGCCCAGAGCCCCTCGATGTCGCCGAGCACGCAGTAGCGCACCGTGACATCGAGGAAGACCCGCTGGCAGTCCGCCCGCTGGATCTCCAGGTCGAGGATCGCCTCCTCGCGCTGCGCCGTCAAGCCAGTGGCGCCGCAGTGGGCGCAAGCCGCCCCAGCCGCCGGGCGCGCCGCCGCCGTGCCGCCCGCCTCGCAGCCAGCGCAGTGCCAGCGCCAGCGGTCCCAAGCTGGCACTGGCGTCTGCCGCGCGACGTGGTAGCCGCAGTCGGCGTGGATCCGCTCCCGCGCGGTCTCAAGGGCGCCGCTGCGCGCTTTGAGCCCGCCCCCGCGCGGGCAGCGCCAAGCGTGGCGGGCCTGGGCGCCGAGGAGGTCCCTGCAGGGCCGGCCAGCGCGCTGCCCTGAGCGGGCGCAGTTGTGGCAGGTCGCTCCGGCGGGGGCGGCGTCCTGGCCCAGCACGCAGCGCGCCGCTGAGCAGAAGTCGGCGTTTTCCAAGCGCTGCCCGGGGGCGCCGGGCGAGGCGGCCTGCCGGGCCACCCACCGCGTGCCGGCCGCCGCAGGGGTGGAGCAGTGCCCGGTCCTCTTCTTCAGAGTCCAGGGAGCCCAGCAAGGAAGTGACATTCTTTTTTGGTCAATCCTTGCAGTGAGCGTCCGCTGGAGCTTCTTGTGAGGCTCGGTGGCGAGCTCGGCCCAAGTCGGCAGCCTGTCTTGGCCGCCCCGGCGGCAGCGCGGCGAGCTCCGCGAGGCTGTTCCGGCAGGATCTAAGCCTCCCAGATGGGGTCAGAGTAGATGGGGTCGGAGGATCGCGCCGCATCGCCGATGCGGCTGGATGCGGAGACCGTGTTTTTCGACGCCGACGTTGCCGATGCATCGCCGACGTCGCCCATGCGGCGCGATCCGTCGACCCCATCTACTCGGACCCCATCTAGAAGGCCTGTCCAGGAAGCGGCCAGCGGCAGCGGGCTCGTGTCCAGGTCGTCCAGGGAGGCGAGCCCCGTCCTTTCCCGCAGGGGGACCAGGTTCTGCGCCCAGGAAGCAGCCCAGGCCGCCGGGGCCAGCTCCTCCTGGCTGCGGAGGCCGCGGCCGCCCAGTGGGTCCAGCCGCGCGAGCTCCTCGTAGGCGGCCAAGAGGGCGGCGTCGTAGGTCGCCGCCGCTGGCCGCGTCTGCCCCAGGGGCGTCGTGCGCAGCGTGTGCGTCAGCTTGCCAGTCCCGCAGTGCCGCAGGA